GATACACGTAGTCTTCTTTTTCATACGTTGAATATAAGCAGCAAAAATGTTATCAATATTCACAAACTCTAAAATTTTGTGGGGGCTATGGCAGATCGTGTGCTATTGCTCGTCGCGGACGTCGTTGCCTCTGGTGCTGGCGGTGGTGATAGTTTACCTAGCGTCACGGCTCTCGACCCTGCTTCGGGAAATGCGCAAGCTGCCACCGGGCCCTTGGGGACCTCCCGTCGTCGGGTACCTTCCCTTCCTTGGTGTGCGTCACAAGACGTTCCTGGAGCTTGCGAGAAGCTACGGTGCGTTGTTCTCGGCTCGACTGGGCAACCAACTGACGGTCGTCCTCAGCGACTACAAACTCATCAGGGAAGCATTCCGCCGTGAAGAGTTCACCGGCCGCCCCAGTACACCTCTCATGCATACTTTAGATGGTCTAGGTAAGTTTTCCTCAGATTTGCTTTATATGAAATAAAAATTAAAATAACTCAATGTGTATTGACCAATTTAAATTAGATTAAAAATATTCAAAAAAGAAATATATGTAGAAAATATACATATATAGAAAAAAAATGTAATTAATCAAATATCAATTTTATGAACAAAATGATAAGAACGCTAAGTGTTCCCATCTCTTCCGATACTATCCACAGCACGCAGTGTTTATAAACGGTTCGTTCTGTGCAGGAATCATCAATAGCGAAGGCCGCTTGTGGAAAAACCAACGCCGGTTCCTACACGAAAAGCTTCGCGAATTCGGAATGTCCTATATGGGCAATGGCAAGAAAATCATGGAAAGTAGAATTAAGGTTAGTATGTGAGACAAATAAAAGTGAAAATTTTATACTCATATTTAAATGAAGAGTTAACGGTTCTTAACAGTTACATTAATTAATTTGTTTTAATTCGCAGGGTGAAGTTTACGAGCTGATAACTAACTTGCAACGCACTGAAGGCGCGCCCGTAGACGCAAACCCGTTGCTCGCTTTGGGCGTATCGAATGTAATTTGCGGTATCACGATGTCCGTACGCTTCAGTCACGGCGATTTACGCTTCGAGAGGTTAAACCATCTCATTGAAGAGGGCATGCGGCTATTCGGCGAAATACATTACGGAGAATATATACCATTATACAATGTAAGTATTTATTTTGTTTTATTTATTTTTTCTATTTTATTACTTAAATTTGTATATACATCATTCTGGTTTTAATACATTTTTTAATCATTGATTTTCTTTTTAGTATCTACCCGGTAAGGCACTTGCGCAAGAGAAAGTTGCCAGAAATCGTGAAGAAATGTTTGCTTTTTATCAAAATCTAATAGATGAGCATCGCGACACACTCGATCTTGATAACGCCAGAGATCTTATCGATGTTTATCTTATCGAAATTGAAAAAGCGAAGATTGAAGGCAGAGAAGGAGAACTATTTGAAGGCAGAGATCATGGTATGTAAACAACAACTTTTAAAATCTATTTCGCAGTGATTTTTATTTCTTTTTCTTATCATAGTGATTCTTCATAGCTTAGTTATTTTTTATTAAACCGGAGTTTTCTGCAAAATAACATTGTATTTTCTTTACAGAATTACAAATCAAACAAATCCTAAGTGACCTGTTTTCTGCTGGTATGGAAACGATTAAATCGTCGCTGCTGTGGATGATTGTCTTCATGCTTAGAAATCCAGATGTCAAGAGACGAGTACAAGAGGAATTGGACAGCGTTATCGGGTGCGACAGAATTCTTACAGTTGAAGATATGCCAGACCTTGTATATACTGAATCAACAATCTTGGAAACGTTGCGCATGTCGAGCATCGTACCTCTCGCGACAACACACTCGCCAACAAAGTAAGTATTTGACAACAAAATAATCTTATAGTTATGTGTTTTATCTAATACATTTACAAGATTACTAAATTAAGATTTTGTTATCAGGGACGTCCACCTCAACGGCTACAGGATCCCGGCAGGCTCTCAAGTCGTTCCCCTTATCAACTGCGTGCACATGGACCCCAACCTCTGGGACGAACCGAACAAATTTGATCCAAGCAGATTCATTGACGAAGCGGGTAGGATCAAACGGCCGGAGTTCTTCATGCCTTTTGGAGTAGGTCGTCGCATGTGTTTAGGTGACGTTCTCGCTCGCATGGAGATGTTCATGTTCTTTGCTACCATCATGCACCAGTTTGACATTGAAATGGAAGCAGGAGCGGCGCCTCCTTCCTTAGAAGGTACGGTCGGAGCAACAATTTCACCGCAATCGTTCCGCGTGAGATTCCTGCCACGCCTGTTAATCCCGGCGAATCTTACGCCCGACCATCCCCATTTGCGCCATGTCGGAGCTCACTAGGATAGCTCCTATTGCCGCCATGGGCGTACCTAGGATATTAACTAGATAAGCTATCTATAATATAGACGCTACAATATTACTATCACGCACCATCTCGATGTTATATTACAGCGCTTCAGAAATTGCGAAGTCTTAGCAACAACCTAGTTACGCTCATGTTTGCCACAAAACCCACGTACCCACCAGTATTCAATGATCACTCGTTTTAGAGCGTATCGATGACAATTAAATTAAGTCTTTTATTATATAAGTGATGATATCGCGGGAGCGATAGTCGAGGCTGTGCATAAAGTGTTCAATTACATGTAGACCGACCTTTTATTTTAGTTTATACAGTAAATTCCCATCGTTGAGATTATGAATTCGTATGACTGCAGTATTATAAGTTTGCGATCTGTGAGAACGGTTTCTATCGCATGCATTGTATGGAACAGTTAAATAAAGATTATTTGATTTATCGAAGTCTTAAACTCTAGTTTCCTATACCAAAATAATTGTTTAATCTAGATCATTATTTATTAATAGGTACGTACCATTTGTGTGAGTGTTTCAGTTGAATGTGATCTCAGATTGCGTTGCATATGATTTTGTATTTGTTAAGATTTCAACGTGTTCATCTTTTTGTATAATTTTAATATATTTTGTACCTATCATGCGTAACATACGTAGTTACATTCCATGGTAGCGTAGCACCAGCGACTAGTCTAAGAGCGGCAGTTAATGTCTCTGTAAGTTCGATATTGTTATTTCCTCGTAACTCGAATGACTCATTAAATTGTTTTCGAAACACAATTTCTTAGCAACAAAGTTGCATATGAAAGGAAAATGTACAATTGTAACTAAATGCAGTTTACTATTACTCCGCCCGATACAATAAAAGTACCATTTATATTGTTAGGCTTTGTAAATAATGCTTAATTTTAAGTGATTCTAAATGTAATTTTTTTAAAATATAAACAATGAAATTATTCATAATATACAATTATTTTCAATGAAACCTACTCCTCTTCCTTACAAAAAATAAAATAAAAAGCGAAAGCTTCAATAAAAAATACAACATTTTAAAAATCGATTATATTTATTAAGATCGACACAACTACAAATATTAAATGCATTGCTTTATGCTTAGTACACTTTTGTTGACGACTGTACTATTAAAGCGGTACACAAACATACAACGTCTTAGGCGGTGTCATGGTGACACCGACTGTACCTTGCATTTCCACTTCAGTGGGTGGACCATCGACTAATTGTACACGCATGTGTCGGAACAAACGTGTTATCAATCCACACGACATCATCCGAGAAAGCTCATCTCCAGGGCACATTCGCTTTCCTGGAATTAAAAAATAAAACAAAAATCAACAATACTCATATTATACGTAAGCGGTAATCGAATTACATAATATCCATAGTAAGAGAACAAAAACATTGAATAAGTAAAGATACTAAAGTACAGACATCGACAGATGTCTTAGCGACCGTGATTAAAGTACGAATCAATAAAGAACCTACATTCCTAACTAACATAACAAAGGTGAGTCATGCAGTTATAAAAATAATCTAAACACTGTCATGCACGTCACCTATTAATTGTGATCAACAATAAAAGGAATAACTTAAAGATATAGTCATATTCAAGTTAGCCTGGTGATCCATCACACAGGGCGCGACCCTATTTTGGACACAAGTCCCCTACCCAAGGGGAAATTAATAAAGTTATTTTTATTTATTTAATTCAATTTATTAACGTGGCTTTTAAAAATCTCTATTATCAATAAATAACCTAAGTATATTTTTTTTCATTTACCCGGGCGAAGCTTGTAGCAGTATCTTCTCAAATATGTAAAATGTTTATTTACTTTCCTTGTGTGTCAAATGTGAAAGGAAGACCAAAAAGAAAGCGTGCTTAACAAAACGTAATTCGCTATAGAGGCTTAATCACGATTAGAGTACACGGTGTAAGTTAATAGAAAATAGGCCTAATAACTTCCGTACGGTTGCAAAAAAATTTATATCGCTTACTTAGTTATGCAATGAGAAGTAAAAGTTTTAGAGAACGTCAGCATATACGAGTTAAATTATAAGCCTACGTTCGTTTTGCAACCTCAACAATTCATCTTTTAATGTTCGAATTGTTCGTTATTTCTGCTTCGTAGAAAGACACATGTTAGAAATATCGTTAACTTAACACTTAGTTCTTTTAGAATTAATTTGAACAACTTTTTTAGTATTACTCACTTACTAGCGATTGTTATCAAAACACAAATATCCACATTAAAGTGCATTTAGACCAATCTTGACAACACAGGATTCATGGTAAAACGTACTCTCAAACAAAAAATAGTTTAACAAAAATTGTTCAATTATAATAAATATTAATGTGATAGTGAATAGTATCGTAATTAGTACGACTTCAAACAGAAAATTAAAATATGCACGATTGTTAATTAGGACTCATATCTTAAACAAGATAAAAATATACGAAAATTAGGGAAATAAAAAAAAAACCTGTTTGAAAAGGTATGAATTGTTGCGGCTTCAATAAATTCCCATCTGCATCCAAAAATCGACTGGGCTTAAACTCCTCGGGATCCTCCCAAACGTCAGGATCCATGTGCATCGCCCACTGCAGCGGCATTACCATTGTGCCTTTGGGAATCCTGTAGTCACCTAAATACGTATCCTGAAATGACCAACAACATTTACTGCTGCACTGATAGTTGGCGCTAAGTAGAAATGTACACTAAGGTTCAGAGTTAAGAAGCAGAAGTTAAAAAAAAATTACTTCAATACATCCATGAGGAATGCCAACTGGAACTATAGATCGAATGCGCTGAGTCTCACAAATGGCCGCCATTAATCGAGGTAACTTTGTATAATCGCAATCATTATCATCAATTAAAACGGTCTGGATCTCACGACGTACCGTCTCCTGCAATAGTGTTGTCACAATAGTATATGAATAGGCTGAGAAATTAATTTGCATATTTAATTGAAAATAAAGCGCTTAGGTGACAAGCGTAGGTACATAAAGGTCTGTACCTGTTCTTCCGGGTGCAGAGCCATATACAACAAAAACCAGGCGAGAGTAGTCGACGTGGTATCAAGGCCTGCCCCGAACATGTCCGCGAGCAGATAAAACATCTGTTCATCTGTCATGTACTTTGCAGTCTCATCGCCGCTGTCGAACCGTTTCTTTTGTTCCAAGAGGAAATTGTCAAGAATACATTCACCATCTGTCGGTATAAGAATTTCGGGATCGAAGTAATGTTCCTCCGTTTCTGATACATGTTTGCTGTATTTTATACATTTTATAAAGCCTTTAGGATGCTGGTTGAAAAGATTTTCATGTAACGGATATTTAGCACCTTCAGGAGCTTCAAGTTTTAATACTTTGCGTCGCTTTTCAACAATAGCAGCGTAGAGAGAGTGAGTTTGTGCCTGACCACGTGTTAGTATGCTCATCGTTTTTTGAATTGACCGTGAAAAGAATCTAAAATACGGAATAATAATAAATAGAGAAATAAAATTCATAATCCTAACTAAAGTAGATTGAGTTTCAATGTAAACGTACCGAATGAAAGGCAAAAAGTTAACAACCCCAGCAACGCCCATTTCATGACTACCTTCTTCTTGTATTTGTCTGAACCATTTCCATGTTTTGTCATCAGAAGGATATTTGTAACCAAATATAATTTCATTTACGACGTTTCCCAGTGAGTTTGCTAGCATCGATGTTAGATCAATAGGGGCCCCAGAGGCTTCTTTGACGTTCTAAAATTTAAATCAGATTTATATCACCAGGAATCAAATGTAAATTTAATGTAAAATATTGCTAAATAAGCATCGAACGGCAGTGACGGCTGCGCTGTAGGCAAGCGCATTATAAAAACAAAAGTGGGGATCGTGTTTTTTTCTGCTTCGAGTCTCGGTAACATTTGTCAGTGCCATTAAAGGTCACTTTCAAGAAATAATGTAGGTTTTTGTCACTAGTAAAAACACCAAAGCTAAGACTTTGCGTATTGCGTAAAATATACATTAATTTATAATACACTAGCTATCGCTTGCGACACCATCCGCTAGGAATTAAATAAAAAGTTAGTAGCTTATGTGTTCTTCCAGACTGTCCTCTACGTCTTTGCCTAATTTCATCAGGATCCGTTCCGCTGTGTATGCTACAAACTCTTCCAAAGAGCTATTCCTGCATCCAGCCATCTAAACTTTCGCATTTATAACATTACTAAGATAGTGAAAAGTAAGACTATTGAAATGAAATAAAAAGTGATCTATTACACCAGGCTCATATTCATAGGAATTAATACGATACGATGCCTTAAATCAATTATTAACATCATTCATAAGTACTTGTAACAGTTCATTAACGCCGACTGCGATGCGTCTCTCCAATTTGTCGCGGGACACACTGTGTTTGCTCATCCCGAAGCTTTTCAGCCACATCGTCACCAGTTTGCGTTGATCCTTCCATAATCCACCCTCAGCACAAATTATACCTTAAAATAGGACAGAACAGTTACCGTGCAGCGTATTTATAAATTCTTATTATACTATTGAATGAACTGGTTTTTGATCGTAATAACAATAGCACCGAGGTCGCTTAAAAGAAAGAAAAAAATCTTTGTAATGTGCGGACAAGAAATGTTTTAGCTATTTTTATTATTGTTTTAGTATACATTAAAAAGTGCTAAGATATCTGATACATTTTGGTACTCACCATTTCCGTGCATGATACCATGAGTCAAATAAAGCGGAGCCCGTCCTGAGAAGGCATCCTTTGCGAAAGCTTCTCTTACTAATTTATGATCTGACAGCACTACCGTATACACGCTGCCCATTGATATTCCAAATATTGGGCCGAATTGTTTAGCGACCTTAGTCAAAGTCAGATGGGGCTGGTTTCCATCCATAAATGGCAAGAATCCCACGATCGGTAAACCCCAAGGACCAGGAGGCAAGCTGCGCCACTCCTTCATCTTCTTACAGATCCAAAATCCCAGTACGAAAGTAACTAGCCATAAAAATATGAAATCCATCGTATGCTGAAAAAAACACTGTTATTATTAGAGTAAGTAGCTAGTTAAAGCAAAATACGCGCTAGCCGTGGAGTTGTGGAAACTGTAGCCCTCTACTACTACTACTAAGTACTTAGTTATCACATAAATAACCAGTTTTAATTTTTTGTCAACTATCAACACAAATATCCTCCTTATTTGTTGATGTCATTCAGTAAACATTCCTAATTTTGATGACTAGGTATTGTCTACCTTGATATTAAAGGTTACGTTAGAACTTCTGAATCGAATGCGTTTATTTCTACAAAAATGTATTTAATAACCATGTTTCAGTTTTGTAAATAAAATTTATGCATTCAGCCTATATTTAGATTTATAAAAGAGCCGTTAGTTTCTAAGCTATTTTAATGCTATACCGTAATTGATAAAAAGATTATCACCCGTTATAAACATTGACCAAGATAAAATACTCGTTTATGTTCCGAATAAGGAACAAAACGTTTAAAAAGTAAATATTTACGTTCGTATAGGTATTCGCTCTAAGGCCTTATCTTTATCTAAGTTTTTATCGCTAGCGGATTAAAAATATTATATGCAATGTTACCGGCATCAGATAATACATATTTGCACCGAACTTACATGTTTTGGCTCTAAAATAACATTTGATTCGGCTGCTTTATAAAGTACATTATCTGCGTGTTCATTTTAAGTCAAGTACTGATAAATATACAAAAACATGCACGTAACATCTACTTGTATTTTAAACAAAAATGAAATTTTAATTCAACAATAATAAATGCATAAAACGCTGCTAGACAGTGTCGCTTCCGAACGTATATAATCTTTGACAGCACTACCAACATAAAAACTGACAGCGCACGTGATATCGCTCAAAAGTTAAGATATAATTGGGAAATAAGTTGATGTCGTTATTACTAGCATTAACTAATCACGATACGGGTTTTATTAATACACTAACCTGTTGTTTGTTCGCAGGTGGTATACGATCTTGAGAAGAATGATGTCACAGCGAGCAGCGAGTATAGAGGCGACGCAGAAGCGTTCGTTGCGGAGCTACCGGCACCTATCTGCGCACTCAGTCAACCGAAGGCAGTCGTCACGTGGCCCGCCGCTCGTCGACTGCTGCCCGCGCTCGAATTTCAGCTTGCTTCACCAAAATTTGTTATTCAATTGGGATTCGATTGATTCCTTTATTTTGAAGTAAAATTTAAATAGTTCTTCAAAAGATTTTACCTGCGATAGTGTTTCAAAAACATGCAGGTAAGTCAGGAGTTTTAAATAGTATAATAAATTGATTTTCTTTTTTAAACATTTCATGCTTATTTACATTTTTTATGTTAACATATGCATTAAGATTTATTTACTAAATCAAGATTTTTCTTAGTTTTTTTTCAGGTGTGAAAAGTTCAAATAAAACAAGGAAAATTCCATCTAAACTGTGTCCGCAATTGAGATACCTACTAAACTATTGTTTTTCCTTATTGTAAAAATGATGTAAAAAATTAAACGGTGTAAAATGAATGCATGTTCTGTGGAATTGATCTTTTTTTCTCGCATAAAGATCTCGAATGAATATCGCTATTACGCTATGCACACACGTTAAATGGCGGTCGGAGATAAACCCAGCCGTCCAGTCTCACTGCATTTAACGTTTAGCACTCATTTAAAATGTCAAAACAGTAAATAACAAAAATTGTTATCCAAGTCTTTGTCCGATTCGATCGATTCCACATTTCAACCTGCCTTCTACGAAAAAAATACAGGATGCGAAAGATTTGTGAGCTATTTCGCTGGCATAAAATTGTAATATTACTAACTTTTTGCCCCAGGACTTCGTCTGCGCTGAATTAAAAAAAATAGTAAACTATGTTCTACATTTGTGCCAAATTTTATTGAGAGGTATTAAACTGTTTTGGAGATCCTTATTAACTTAAGTATTCATCAGTCCAAAGTTTGCATTTATGATTTTATACTATTTTATACAACAGATAAACAAAGTAACATAAGTAAATAATATTACTGGTTACCTTTTGTTTTAACGCATTGTAATTTTATTTTCATTGCAATTGTTTATTGCAAATTTCCATATTAAAACCTTGACCTTTTTACAAGGGTTGTTAGAGTTGTAAACGCTCTGCATCACTGAATTACAAGATAAAGGGTATATATAGATACAATTTTATAAAAAAAAAATTAAAGGCATGTGAATTTCCATACAATTTAACTCTGGAAGACGTTTTTACAATCCTTTAATTTCCATTACATGTTTATCATGCTAATATTATAATGTTTTTATTATCTTTCTCGCAAATATAAATAAGACTCTTCAAAATAAAAATACCATGATTTAAACAACCATCCTACAAATGCATGAACTTAACGTAATCGCCAGACAATTCAATTATGAACATAATTGTACTTTTAGGGTAACAGTTACCCGGCTTACTGTAACTTAAATAGTTTCAAATACAATCCGAGTAAAGGAATCTTTGAAGATCATCGATGATTTATTTTAGCTCCGTCAAATAATCCACAATTAAATGTATCGAATGACCAATTCTTCATGGGTCCTTATCAAATCTAAACATGGTACATGGTACGACTACTCCTTAGTAATCGTTCAGAATTCCTAACAACAATATGTGACGCATTTAAGGCTGTCCTCGTTTTATGCTCATAATTAATGGGAGCCCTAGCTAGGTGGAGTGTGAGACGGACAGCGAGGTCGCTCGCAATGGCGGGCGCAGCGACGCGAAGTGTGAAGGCCGGTCAGCGGCCGCGCTGCTGTTATCGGACCAATCGTAACGATCTCGGCACCGGCACTACCGATTAGTGCTCATTGCTCACTGCTTACAAGCCTGTCCACGTGCCGCGCATTATTACAACCAGATAAAACTAATCAACACGCGCGCTCGCTGCATTTTATCCTGCTAACAGATTCTTATAGATCGTGACGAGACCTGTAACTCGATCTGTAAGCGACACTTAATTTATTGATTACCTACACGATTACTTTGTAACCGCCGCAGAAACTTGTCATTCGACTTAAGAAAATAAAACAAAGTCTTTAACCATTTTGTGAGGAAGGTTTTATTACTTTAATGGACAGTGAATAGACTAAGATGGCTGAAGTTTATCACATGTTAAAACGTCAAACTCTAAAAAAACTGAGCTCAGATACATACTTCAATAATTACAATACACCGTACAATCTGTCTATAAATGCGGAATACACATACATAGGTTATAAAAGAGCAGACGATTTGTTTTCGTTCTGGAGGCAAGATAAAGACAAACATTTATAGCTCAAGCATAGGTATATACTGTTATTGTACGACTAAGGTAAACGACATTACTCAAGATGTAAATAAGGACATAAATATTGCTAATTAAATAAAGATTTGATAGTTGTCAAATAAACCAATCACTCAACTTTTAGATAATTGTACGCTTTAATATGGTTATTTATAGCGGGATAGGCGCTTTACTGACATACATCGGGGAATAATAATAATTGAGTGCGAAGCGTGTTGCTCGCCTTACCCAGTCTTATCTTAATTAATGGTCTTCGCGCAGTCCATCACGCATCGTCGTTCACCTGACGACGCGTTCGCCAGACACGTTTAACTGCTCACACGTTTTCACTTCCAAAACTTTTATAAGTTATGAAGACTTACATACACATCGTATTAAATAACTGATCTGCTTGATCATCCTGCTAAAACATCTTCATATATTTATGCAAGTGG